GTGTCACAAAATAAAAACAATCGTTCTTTTTCGAACTATTTATTTTAAAAAAATTAGTTCGTGCCATACTTTTTACTGACAGGTTTTTAAAAAATGCATTGGTTTGACCCTGGAAAAATGGGTGAAACGTTCTAATTTTAGGTAATTTTATGGATATATCTTTTGACAAATTTTTTTATCTCTCAAACTTCCCGTGACAAATTTTATCAAATTCTTGTTTACAAAGATTAATTTGATCCAAAATTCAATTTTAAAATTAATTTCTAATATAGGGACCCTCTAAAGGAGGTTTGGCGGTGGGCTGCAGAGAGTTCATTTCATTCACACACCCTCCTCTAACTTATTTTTACAGAATATTTATGTACCATCTGCCTTGAAATTTTTACATATAGTTTTATTAGATTTTCATATAGACGTGGCAAAATAAGCATTTTAATGAAACAATTTTGCTGAATATCATGTAGCTGGGATAGTTAAGGTAAAATAATAAATTTTCTGCTAAAAAAAATATATATATAACGATATTGTTAAGGTCAACAGTGAAAAATCAAATAAATATTCTTCAAAATATGCTTTGTCAGCACCATTATTTTTTTGCCTCTCTCCATAGTTTGTACTTTTTTAAACTCCCTGATTTGATCCCTACTATGCGAAACAGCCAACATTAAATCTTGCCTGTCCTCCTCATTGTGAACAGAGTTAACAAACTCTGACACAAGTTTAATTGCTTGTTCAGAGCAGTTGTTGATGACATATTGCGCAAACAAATACAGTGAAAGTTTTAAATCGGTCAATAAAGCCCCAAAAAGATGAAGGACAGTTCAGCCATGGTTTATCATCGCCTTTACTCAAATTTGACAGATTGAAAATAAACCACAAATTCCTACCAACCAACTGTGACAAGCTAGGTAGTTTCTCCTGGGTGAAGTCTAGATCTTACATAAGGATTGAATTTTCAGACTTCTCATAATGAGTAGGAACAGGTTGCGAGAAAACAACTTTTGCAACTTTTTCTTTTCATCATTTTCAAATTATTTATCAACAAGACATTATGGAATCAAGGTTTGATCCAAATACCACGTATGTCTCTACATTGATTTCAATACTTCTTCAATTCCCTCTAGTACATTGTTAGCTCATGGATCATAAAATTCTACCCAACATTTATACTGGACCATCTGTCAGTACGCATTTAAATCTTGATAAGGTGCGCACAAATCACACAACATAAAATATAGAAAAAAATTTGACCCTTTTACTGTTTTCTTTTTGTAAACAAGCTGTCAATTGGTAGGGTAACTGTTTACTTAAAACTTGAATTTTAAGATAATATATAGACTTTGCCATAAAACGAGCATGGGAAACTGATCTGGGAGCATAAACATTAAAGCTTACAACTGGACATAAGTAGGTGAGTGTAAGTTCTACTAGTTCTTTATAATCACCTCTTGGAAATACTAAACTGGCAAGTGCATATTTGCAAAATTGAACAATTTTTTCAATCTGTTCTTCTAGATACGTTCCTTTAACTGCAGCTTTGTCAAACTTTTTGAATTTTGATTTATCCATAATTTTATTTGTTGCATTCCAATTAGTTTGAAAAACTTTGAATATCAGAGAAGCATAAGTTTTACCAATGTGAACTTTCTACTAAAAATATTTACAGTAAGGCTCGTAAACATGTCTTCGACATGCAAGCTGTAATATAATTGAATCCTGTGTTTGACAAAACCTAATGTTTGTGCCGGAATATTTTTCTGTATTAGTTGCAGTTGTGTCAAAGCACAGACCCTTTATATAAGTTCTTAGCTTTTATTCATCAAAAATGTTTATTAAAGTATCATGATGAGATTTTCCAGTACCATTTTCCATAGGCAGAATGCCAAGAAGTCTTAAATCACCATCGATATTTACAAGAATAGCAGAGCGATCTCTCTTTTGTTTTGTACCGTTAGTAACATCCTGCAAGATTTTTCTATCAAAGAGTGCAATTATTGGAAATTTACTTTGAGTTATTATTACAGGTATAAATTGTAATAATAACATTTAATAAGTAACTGTATTATTACAATTATAGGTACAAATTGTAATAATAGTATATAAAATTTTAATTGTATTATTACAATTACAGGTGTTTTTAATAATATATAATATTATTAGAAACACTTGTAATTGCAACTTCTTTTGGAAATTTTTAGGTAATACTGTTGAAGCACTAGTACCTGATTTAATTTCGCCTGCTAAATAATCAGAATCTTGACAAGAAGAGACCTCATTTTGTTTTGATGATAAAAACTCAATTTTCTCAGTTTGATCCTCTTGTTGCTCAATAAATGTTAAATACTGCAATCTTCTTTCTTCTATCTTTTTCAGCTTTCGTCAATATGCTAAATCCTTTGCACCAAGTGTCAATTTACGTTTTCTTCATTTTATCATTTAAAAAATGCTTATCTGAATTGTATGAATCTAGGTTGTTTCCTTGTTTCTTCTTCAAAATGGAGCAAATATCAGGTTTTCTAATCCAAAAAATCTTTCTTAGCATTTTTTAAAAAGATGTTTCTAGCTAATTCTGCTGCGTTGCCTTTTTTATTTTTATTTTTTTTCAACCTTGCCCATTTTTCAACTAGACCATTTAATAGTTTCCTAGAACATAAAATATTTATTTAACTTTTTTCTAATTGCTTTAAAACTTTTTAATGTAGCCTCATATCAGAGGCAGAGTGAAAAGAGTCATGTTAACAAATTAATATAAGCAAAAAGAAAATTCTGTAAAAATAAAAAAACTCTAATTATAGATTATTTAGCAAACCTGATGTGTTTGCCATGAAATATGCTGTCATCATATCCTCCATCGATCCACGATTTCTTTATAGCAAAAAGAATGCAGTTCTGAGAACATATTACTAGTTCAGAGCATGCTGACATCATTTTATCTTAAGAAACACAACCAATCAAAGTTTTGGTGGGAGTATTTTTGTCTAACAGACTCCTGAGTTATTATGATTAAATTTAGATTTTATATATTTTGTTTTTCAAACTGAAATTTAATTACTTGGTGAATATATTGAATGATAATTTTTATTCAGTTTATTGTTTTAATCATACCTGTAATAAAAATGAAGAATAATTTCCTCATTTGTGGCAAACCGTGTTTCAGAAAGTTTTTCTAACATTTTTTTTCTTTAAATAAAAATATCTTTGAAAGTAATCTCGTAATTATTGGTAGCATCTTTACTTTTTTTTAAACTTTTGTTTTATTTTTTATTTTTAAAGTAAAAGTTATAAATTGTAGTTTATAATGAAAAAAATATTCTTAGCTTAAGTAGAAGTATGGCACGAATTCGTTTTTTAATCTTTTCTAATTTTTTTAGAATAAATAATTCGAAAAAGGAAGATTATTTTTGTTTGTGACACACATGAATTAAATTTGATCGATTAAAGCGTCATTCTATTTAAATATACTTAAAATTATATGAAGTTAGCACGTTTTAAGCTATTTTTTCTAGACCTAAATTAGTATATATTTTTTTATTGTAAACTTCCCAACTGATTCCAAATTAATATTAAGACCTTTTAGAGTTCATAGAAAAAAAATTGGTGTTTTATGTCAATGTTTAAGGTCGCTGCTTTTTGGTTAAAAAGTTGGGGTTTCAGGGCACAAATTGTAAAAACAGGAACCTTAAAAATGAATTTCAAAAAAAATTTTTTTAGCGTAAAATCATTTTTATCCAATCGGTCAACTAATCCAGGTGGTTGGGATTTAGTTTAAAATTTTTTTTGAAAAATGACGCATCCTAATATATATATATATATATATATATATATATATATATATATATATATATATATATATATATATATATATATATATATATATATATATATATATATATATATATATATATATATATATATATATATATATATATATATATATATATATAGTCTTGAATGGTAGTCGAAAAGTTTCTTCCATAAACTCTAATTTTGAAGAGAGCGCTAATAAACTGGACCAGAAAAAGTTTAAAAACTTGAATATTTTTTTTTCTTAAATGATAGACTACATGCCCTAATCAAACCCTCAGTCAATGTGGCAGCACTCCGTTGTAAGTCAGGCTATAAGATAGTCGATGTGGCAGCACTCAGTTGCAAGTCAGGCTATAAGATAGTCGATGTAGCAACACTCCCTTGTAGCAGCAGGCTATTAGATAGTCAATGTAGCAAGACTCCTTGCATGTTTAAAAAATATATTTTTAAAAAACAAAAACAATAACACTATGAATTAAAAAAAGCTTTCTAGTCATTATTATTCAGGGTGGCCACTTAAATTTGAAAATCAAATTCCATGACACTTCCATGTTTTTTCCATGACTCTTCATAAACATTTATGATAAATCACTAAGTAAAATATTCATTTATAAAACATATCATTATAAAACATGCAAACCAAAAACTTTTCTGATAATCTATAACACTGCAAAAATATATTTTTTAAAAAACTAGACTTACTAGTACTTTTTTTTTGCATCCTAAAAATATCACAAGTAAAAAAAATAAAGTTCATTTTAAAATGTTCCGTGAATTTTCCATGATTTCCAATGAAAATTTAGGAATTCTATGACTTTTTCCATGAGCAAATCAAATTCCATGACATTTCCACGATTTCCATGACCAGTGGCCACCTTGTTATTTGAAGTTTTTAAAAAACGAAAAAACTTAATGTACTTCTGCATTAATTTAGTTGTTTCAACTTTTCAACAACAATAAAATGTCGCTTAATTGTCGGGGTAGCAAAATTGTTGTTAAAATCGTTGTACATTAAAAGTCTTTTTTGACTACGAGATAAGGGTATATATATATATATATATATATATATATATATATATATATAGACACACACATAAATCATGTTACTGAATATGTAAACAATTAATGAATATAGAAACTGTAAAAGTTATAAAAGTAGCAAAAATTTTTAATATAAAATTTACAATACTTACATAGTATTGAAGACAGCTTCAAAACAACAGAGTGCTGTATCTTTATATTGTTCTTGTATGCTGCAAAAAAAAAAACACACAAAAAAACAACTAAATGACAGATAATAATAATCAATTTTATGCATTCTATATATATATATATATATATATATATATATATATATATATATATATATATATATATATATATATATATATATAGATACATATAAAAATAAAGTATTAACTTTTAACTTTTTACAATATATCTTATATATATATATATATACATATATATATATATATATATATATATATATATATATGTATGTATGTATGTATGTATGTATGTATGTATGTATGTATGTATGTATGTATGTATGTATGTATGTATGTATGTATGTATGTATGTATGTATGTATGTATGTATGTATGTATGTGTGTATGTATGTATGTATGTATGTATGTATGTATGTATGTATGTATGTATGTATATATGTATGCATATATATATATATATATATATATATATATATATATATATATATATACATACATACGTATAAAAATAAAGTATTAACTTTAACAATGTATCTTAAATATATATATAATATATGTATGCATATATATATATATATATATATATATATATATATATATATATATATATATATATATATATACATATATATATATATATAAATAAATATACATACATACGTATAAAAATAAAGTATTAACTTTTAACTTTTTACAATATATCTTAAATATATATATCTTAAATATATATATATGTATATATGTATATATATATATATATATATATATATATATATATATATATATATATATATATATATATATATATATATATATATATATATAAGATATATTGTAAAAAGTAAAAAGTTAAAACTTTACTTTATACAATATATGATAAACAATAAAATAATCAATGGAAAAGATATATAAAATATTTATTTTCCATAGATCATTCCAGTATCAATGGAAAAGATATATTTTATACTAGTAATGTAAAATCTACTCTAATTCAGTCTACCAAACAAAAAAGTTTATAAACAAAATCATTACTTCTATGGAATACTTTTTGTTGTTGTTGAAAATAACATTTAATAGCCTAATTGTATGAGTGAACTGACCAAAATCAAGAAATCCATTTAAACAAGAAAAAACTTATTCCATTCATTAACAAATATTATTGAGATGGTACATTTGTGTTCTGGCCCAATTATCTAACTATGCAAATACAGTCACATAAACATGAGAAAAAATTCCCTATGTTGAAAAAGTGAATAACTCTACAAACTTTCCAGAATGTTGCCCTATTATAAAATTAAAAAATTTTTTAAAAAGTTTTGTTTACAAACTGACAAACTAAAAATCCTTAAAATTTCATTATAGGATCAAGTATTGCTGTAATAAAGTTAAACTTTAGCTCATACAGAGTTTAGGTCAGTCTAAATCAGACCTGGAGTGGACGGATCTAGTGGATAATATCAAAAGAAACAGTTTAATTGAAAATTACTGATATATATATAAAAAGCTAAAACAAAAAATACATTCTACAACATTTTTTCCTTTTGTTTTGCCTGATAGTTATGTCTCTTTAAATACAGTCGCATTATTTAGTTGTAATTTGTTAAAGTATTAGAGGCTGACAAATCAATTGTTGATAAAATGAAGAAAAAACAAAGAGAGTTTAGCTTAAAAAAATTAAAAAACAAATGTTTTATCAATATTTTTAAGAATGTTATTGCATATATATTTTAGATTGAAAACATCTTAAATTTCAAGAACTTTGAAAAAAACCAAGCTAAAAAAACACTCTGGTAACTGTTTTTACAAGTATACATAATTATTTGCATAAATATTCTTGAATTAGACAGTCATAAATAAATATAAGACAAATACAAAATGTGCACAGCAGAATCTACACCAGAAATAAATAAGCAAACAGAAAAAAAAGTTGTTTTAATTTAAGGATTGATGTGTCTTTTAATGAACATTGGGTGAATATTGAAATAATTTCTATAATGGGAAAAATAAACAAGCCTTAAATGCTTATCATGTTTTTGAGTAAAGATCACACACTTTCTATGCCTATTTTTCATAGTATACTGCCCTCATTTACATATTTCCAAGAGCACATGATGAGTATATAAGTTGTCAAAAGTAGTAGTTCCATGGTATCAACTAAGCAGATAAGTTAGTTGAAACTAAAAAAGTTTATTTCTTTTTGAAAAATCCATAAAACCATATGTTGCATTAGATTGCAAAAAAACATCAGGTGGAGTAGATATCTTGAGTAAAACAACAACACATTAGGTGGTGTAGATATCTCGAGTCACCCCAGTATCTTGAGTCAGTAATCTGTATTCCTAACAGCAGAGGTTTTAAGTTGTTTACAAAAGAGCAGGTTTTAAGTTGTTTACAAAAAAATGAGCTGTTTATTGATAATAAAAAAAATCTTATTACCTACATGTTTCCAACATTTTTTTTTTCTCATTGCTTTTTTGTTTTTATTCCTTATTTATTTTTCTATTTATAAAAAAGTGCATTATGCTATTTTTTCTCAAAAAGATTTTCTTTTTTAGACCAATGAAACAAAAATGTTAAGCCATTCTTGATAAAGGATTTAAGTATACTCATTAACCTTTAGAAAAACAAGATTAACATAAAATATTTTTAAAACTTACAACTTTAGGTAAAATACTGTGTGTGTGCTGCAAAAATTTAAAAAAGTTTAGAAGTTTAAAAAACTTTTTTTTTTACTATAACCCTGTTTATATGTTTAAAGTATAACTTAAATATTCTGTTAAGTATTTCACATTCTGCTAAGTATTTCACATTCTGTTAAGTATTTCACATTCTGTTAAGTATTTCACATTTAAAGTATAACTTAAATATTCTGCTAAGTATTTCACATTCTGCTAAGTATTTCACATTCTGTTAAGTATTTCACATTTGAAATTAATTAGAAAAATTTAAGTAAGCATTATAAAAAGTTCTTTCATTCTATTTTCTATTAGCAAGTGGTAAAAGTCAATTCATCCTTAAAAATAGTAAAAAAATATTAAAATAAATGTTTATAATATATATATAATTATATTAAATAATGTATACAAATATATATAACTATATTATATACAATATATTATATTTTAATTACAAATAATAAAAAAATTAGAAATAAAAACAAAAATTGAAAAACAACTACTTTTCTTCTTCATAGAGTGAATAAATGGCTGCTAACGATACAGCAATCAAATTTGAGATTACCCTTGGATGAGGGCATATATAGCTAGAAGTATGTAAACTAAAGAAAAAAAATAAGAAAACATATAAATAAATATAAATAACATATAAATACTTATGGAAAAATTATGATAAATTGAAACTAAATAAATAGAATTGATTGAATGGAAACAAAATTATCAAAAAATATATTAAGAATATTATAATCTTATATAAATATTAATAACAAAAAATAAGTTACTTTTCTATAAACTCAACTATTGAGTCACTATTTCCATATAAATAAAAGAAATATTCTTGGATTATTTCCCGTATATGGATTAACTTATAAAAATCTGAATTTTGTTTTAGCAGCATTGTTATAATCGGTGAAAGGCATTCTTTAATGCCTAACTTAGGACGCAATCTTAAAACCTATAACAAAATTAAACCCTAGATTATTAGATACTAATATCATAAACACAACAATTGCATCTGAGATCATAATACAAAATAATAAATATATTTATATATCTTATATGTAAATATATAATTTTATAAGATATACCAAGTTAAATATATATTTCTATATTATGAACATGCAAAAAAAGTTTACCTTTTGGAAGCATTTACAAATCGACACTGGTATTAATGTGATTTTTAGTATAGGAGCAATTATCTTAAATTAAAAAGTTAAACTTGAGACAATGTTATTATCTAAATTATATTACAACAGAGCATACTCAGTGGTGTAACAACCATATAAACAGGTTGGATAAATGCTAAAGTCCCTAAGTAACAAAGGGTCCCTAGATACTTTAATGGGAAAATTTTACTTGCGGAGGAGTTTAAAAAATTGATTTAATTAAAAATTGATTTAATTAAAATTGTGGAGGAGATTTAAAAATTGATTTAATCACAATTAAAATGTTTTTGTTAAGTTAATTTTCACTTGAGAGCCTCAAATGAACATTAATTTAACAAAATATTCAGTAATGATAGTTCATTTTGCTATTCAAGTCAGTTGCCTAACAACCATATGGAAAGGGTGGGCAAATGCTAGGGACCCCAAGCAATTGCTATTTTTATGCAAAATTTTAAACAGTTTATTAAATAAGTTAGTGTATAAGAACATTAAATTTCAAACTTTTATTAAGTTTATTTATAAAGTAATTAAATTACATGTAAAATATAATTACAAAAGTAAACAAATTGTTTGTTGTTCTTTGATTCTTTGATATTGTATTTTATTTTATTAGAAAAAAGGTGTTGATAGTGTACTTGCATT